GGGAGATTGGATCTTGACGAGGAACAACGAAGATTGGGACAATGACAGTAGCGGAACTCCACTAACCTACACAGCCTCAGCCAGCAGATCCCGCTTTAGCTGCTGAAGATAGGACGCTGAACACTTGGAGAACGCAGCCTCCAAGTCGATCTGCTAAACTAAGTCAAGAGGCAACAGGTGGCGTGAGAAAAGGGGAGAGAGTAGAGGGCTTGTACGAGTTGATGGTTGAACGTCAAGGAATTGGATGTAGTTAGCGTGCCAAGGCCCTTTAGGCTTCGCGCCTCCGGGCGAAATAAATTCCATCCATCAACGACCGATCATGTTTCGTGAACACATCGCCCATGCCGTTTTTCACATTAACGTCCAAGCCGCGCCTCAGGCCCGCCGCGGTCCCGTATTCTTTGGGCGACTTGATCCTTCCGCCAAGCATCATGCCGGCAATTGCCAAGGGCGCCATCTCCGGGTTCTCCACGATGTCGACGATAGTCATACCGAGTCCACTCACGCCGCCCACGGCGGCAAACACGCGTGCTAGCCTCACGAGATTAGCCGCAGCCGCCGTGACCTGGCCGATGGCGGGGACGAAAAAGAGCACCGCGGTGATGATGGTGAGGATGAGGTCCTTGTTCTCCTCTGCCTGCCAGTCCTCGCCAATCTCCTTGGCCTGTGCCATGCCCTCGATGGCTTGCGCCATCATCAAGATGGGCATGGAGAGCACCTCGACGACGTCCGAGTTGCTTCCCTCCCAGGCACCGAGGCTGATTTCGGCCCCAACACTCATCAGCTCGACCTCCAGGTTGGGAATGTTAGGCATCGCCTCGTTTATCATGTCCTTGGGATTGGGCACCTCCCACTCGGCCTTAAACCTGGGGTAACCTTGGATGGTCAACTCAAAGTCCACACACACCCCGGTGCCTCCCGGGGTCGGTGTGCACTTGATCTCCTCCTTGTGCTCGCCAAACTCGACCCACTCTCTATCGATGCCGAGCTCGGCAAGCGCTTTGTCGAATCCAACAGAGTCTCTCAGCGTCATCTGCAAGCTCCAAATGCCCATATAGCGGTTGCCGACCACGTCTTGGGGCACATGGCACGGGCCTTGCCATCTCCTGCCGCCGTCTCCTTCAAAGTTGCAGTCAAAGTACTGCTGCCCTTTGCCTAGCAAGTCGTTGCCTTCGAGAGGGCCTCGCCAGTGGGCCCACCGCTCGAGCTGGTACGGCAGGGCATTCTTCAGGTACCGGACGTAGGAATCGAACTTGGAGTCGTACCCGTTGTTGACGTCGTTGTACCTGGCAACGGCTGCGTCCAGCATGTCGCCGAGGACATCCAGGGTGTAGATGATGTGGCAGCCTGGGATGACGGTGGCGGCGGCGGCTTCTAGCGCCTGGAGACTGTCGAAATGGACTTCGGGATCACAGAACAAGCCCTCGTCGTCCTCGTCGACACTGTCGCCGATGCCGGACGAGCCCCAGTCACGATCCAGATCCACGGCCCAGTCCGACACGCCTCCGAAATTGAGACTCTGGTACCAGCTGGTCCGGCTCTCCTTGGTGACGTCAGTCATGAAGGACACCCACTCCAAGTCGTCGTAGACCAAGACGTCCGAGTTCGAGGCGTGGTTGTGGTACGTCGAGGCCGTGTAGCCGCTGTCGGGTGTCTGGGCCATGTTGATGATCTCGCGGATCTCGGCGTTGGCGATATAGCCCGCCGTGTCTGTACAGAACCCCTTGGCCGCCAGCGACGTCTTGCCCTCGGGCCCGGCGCCGAGAAAGCGGCACATGACCCCCACGCAACCTCTCTGTGCCATCTTGAAGCTCCGCCCGTAGCTCGCGACCCCGACAAACACCTTGTTGGCTGCGATGCCGGCCCGAGTGATCATGCCGAGCGCATTGGTCGTCTCGGTCAGGTTGACGTGAGAGCGGAGGCAGTTGCCTTCCACGCAGCCCGAGCTCGACCACTTGTTGCCGTAATCCCACTGCCCGTGCAAGTCGTACGTCATGTAAATGACGTAGTCCACGACGGCGCCAATGTCCTTGATCGGGTACCCCATCAGGTACCAGTACGAGGCCGGCGCGGCGATGGAGACGGACTTGGTCCGCAGCCTCCGTTTGACCGCCCGGAGGAACTCGAGGTAGTCGAGGCCCTCCTGGATGGTGCTTGGAGGGACGCCGGAGCCGAGATCATCCGGGGCCGCCGGGTATTCCCAGTCAAAGTCGACGCCGTCTAGGCCGTGCTCCATAACGAAGTTGTAGACGTTGGTGGCGAGCACGGCGCGGTTCTGTGCCGTGACGCCGGTGCGGAAGATGTTGTAGGTGGGCGCCTCGGTCGAGAAAGCCCAGCCGCCAAAGGAAATGATGCGTTTGATGCCCGTCATGGACTTCATGAGGTCGAACTGAGCTTGGACCTTGCTCACGTCGATCTGGAAGTCGGGCGTAATGTCCCCAAAGGCGAAGTGGATGTGTGTGAACTTGGCCGTATCGATGTCGGTGACGTCCATGTGCAAGCAAGGACGGTTGCCATTCCAGGCCTCGAAGTATGCCACGCGGGCAAAGGATGCGGGGGGCACCGCGTTGTTAGTGATGCCCATGCCGCAGTTTGAGATGCAGCCGTGCTTCCCCGGTTGCGACGTGCCCGGCGCGCCCGTGTCGGCGGGCGACTCGATGCAGAAATCCTCAGTCGTGCCGCACTGGCCCCAGATGTTGCAGCAGACATTAAGCGGGCATGGATTCAGGTCCTTGAGCGCTGTCCCGCTTGCAGGCGGCGGCGTGCCTTCCTTCTGAGGCCCGCACAAGGCGCCAGGGACGGCGGCGGGCATCGGTGGCGACCCGGTCGAGAGGCAGATCTTTTGGCCCGGCTGGATGGCGCTGCAGCCCGCCCAGCCCCACGTGTTTTTGTTGAGCTCACCAATCTTGTCTGTGGTCAGAGAGTACTTGGCTGCGATATCGAAGCAGTTGTCATCCTTGACGATGCTGTATGAAGCGCAAGAACCGTCTGGGTTGGGCTTTGGTGACACTAAGATGACCAGGCAGGTGGTGAGCACGGTCGCGATTCTTCATGGAATCGAAAACTAAAGGCAACGTAGGGAAGGTGGTGTGGTAGGAAATGCACTCTACTTACAGTCCGGTAGAGTCCCGCTCGAGCAGCAGACATACTGCCCGGGCTTGAGGGAACTGCAGAAGCTGGCCACCCCGCTGTTGTATGTTTCGAGATTAGTCTGGGATATACCACAGCGCTGGGCAAGTGACCAGCAGCCGTCTCCGGCCACAACCTGAATGGCTCGGCAATCGGCCCGTGGATTCAGACGGTTGATACCGTCTCCGGGGCCCAGGTCCCGCTTGAGCACCTGCGGTTCCCCTTCCTGCTCAAAGCCCGAGGTTAGGCCGAGGACAACCGGGACATCGGTCGCCCTAACCATGTCAAGGTCCACCTTCTCCCGGACCTGCCTGTCATCGCCGCCGCTCAAGCAGCGGGCTTCACTCCAGCCGTGCAGGGCGTCCTGGACCGACGAGATGTTGCCGCGCGAGTCGGCAAAGATGCCAAAGGACCATGTTTTGGGGGTCTGGTCCTGGCACACCTCGAGCGCTGAGCGCTCTGCTCCGGGGTGTTGCCTCACCGAGTCGGCGAACATCTGCATCAGCCCCGTCACGCTCGGCTTGTGAATCTCAGCCCCAACATAGAGACCCACCACCGCGTCTCCCGCCAGAGCGAGCCTATGGACATGTAATGTTAGCGCCTCCTCGCACGTCTCCATGTCTCGATGTGAGTGTCTGCTCTGACAGTCCAAGGGCTCAGGTTGCTCACATGATGGAAGAGCCGCAGTCGTCTTCAGATGCCAGCCAGGATTCGAGCTCCGTGGTTGCCGAGAGGATCATGTCACCTCCAGCTGCTGTGCTCCCATCGTTGAGACCCCAGCGTTGGAAGACGGCCTTGGTGGTGTTCCGATACGTCGAGGCTCCCGCGAGGCAGCCTTCGACTCCTGACGACGACGACCCGTCCCGTCGGCGCTTACCACTGTGGCCAGGGGCTCCCGGCTCGTCAAAGGCAAACGGAACGGGATCGTAGGCGATCGGCTGCTGCGTGTCCGCTTCCGAAGCCGTGCAGGCCCGAAAGGTGACATGGGTATCGGGCGCGTCGATGGGCATGTGGATCGACGTGTCGAAGAGCACCGTCTGGTTGCAGCGCTTCAGCGCGGGCGTGCCGTGTAGATGTGTCCATGCCGACGGCTCATGGCCGGCCATGCTGCAGCGAATAGGACATGGATTGAAGGGGCTGGACTGGGCAACGGCGATGGTTGCGAGTGCTGGCATCAAAGCCAGCACTAAAATGAATCCCATGATTGACTCTGTGGCTCTAAGTCCAGTCTGTGCCGAGTCACTCGAGGGCAGTCCGGTCACGGCACCTGCAGTGGCTCAATGAGGAGAGAAAGGGTCGAACCGTCAGGCGCCAATCTAAGTATTTAGATTTCGGGAAGGAGAGAAGAAGGACTCGGGAACGACGAGAGGCAAGAACTCGGAGCTGGAAGAGGCTTGGACTCTTCGCAGCGCACTTTCCCAAGACCTACCCACTACCCAGCCTCCAGGGTATCAGGATGCGCTGCCCGGGGCAGATGCGCTATCCACTTAGACAGACCGCCGCGTCTTGCATCTTTGTTCGCACGCGCCGCCGAGTCTCGACGGTTTCCACTCCAAGGTCATCTCGGGAAGAAATCAGGACCGACGTTGATGTTGCATTTCAACAGAACCAACAGAACACAAGGTCCGGACCACTCTTGGCGCCATTGAGTTGCAGTTGTATCGGACTGTGGTATTCGTATTGACGCGCAAAGGTATGCATGGGCAAGCGAGCCCACTAAAATGACTAGGTAAGTTATGATCGAGACGGAAACGACTCAGACCCCATATCTCTGGGAAGTTGATGACCAAACGTCAACGAATTGGATGTAGTTAGCGTGCCAAGGCCCTTTAGGCTTCGTGCCTCCGGGCGGAATAAATTCCATCCATCCATCCATATCTCTGGCAGCAGGCACCACCAACTGTCAACACCACTCGCCCCCACCTCCTCAGCATCCGCGATGCACAACAGGACTCCGTACTTTGTACGTTATCCTCAATTCCATTTCTGGTGGTGGCGTAACCCTGGCTCGAGCCTGGTTCTTTGCCTAGGTATCCACCCGAGCCACTGCTCCTGCGCCTCCCAAGTCCCAACCGACTACCCGCGGCGTTGTTTTCCTTCCTGGCCTTCCTGGCCGCGTTTCTGGGTCGATTGCTCAGCTGCATGCATTTGAGTGAGGTGGTGAGGTGGTGACGGGACGGGAGGGAAAGCCTGCCATTTGAAGTACCGTCTTTTCTCAATCAAACCAGCTGCCACTAGCAAGGGTCGATTGGCTGCGGGAAGCCCCATAAGCGAAAAGTGGAAAGCAAACAAGGAATACAGCCAATGAATTAGGGGTTTACCCTTGCTAGTGGCAGCCGGCTTAGTTGAGAAAAGACAGGTGTGGGTGGTCGAGTCTCATTAAAGTACTGCTCTTTCCGCACGGAAATGAGTCGCTTTAGTGGGCCTGGGCTCAACGTACCTACTTGACTGTGAGTCCAATGGATGGAACTTGAAGTTGAATTTGCGAATTTCTACCCATGGCTGTCACAGGTACGGTGGTACCTACCTCAAGTTACCGATGTACTTGTACATTGTACCGGTACAGGACGAGGACATCCCTTACAAACAACAGCCCACGACCCTTTTCCAATCTGCCTCCCACGTTGACTAACTTGACTGTTAGAATTGAACCACCACAAACAGTCCGGGCAGCCACGCCGCGCCCGCAAGCGAGATGACCTTGGTTGAGTTGCTCCCGTCCTGCCCTGGGCATGTCCCCAGCCCACGAAGGTGTATCATCTCTCAGTTCCATCTCACTTTCATGTTCTGACCCTGACACCCTGCTCAGGTGCCATCGTTGGCAGCCCGCATGTGCAGACCGGGTCGGCGGTCGGCTGTTCCCAGGGTTCAGTTGGGCCCAAGATTCCGCAATCAGGTCCATATTGCCAGTGATCCTCGTTCCGATTCGGTGCAGGCGGATTCGAGCCTCGAGGTGCCATACATGTGTGCTCTTCCACCTCGGATGCATTGTCCTTTTCCCCGGACAGCCCTGGGGATCTCAGAGTCCACCAAGTAAGGTAGTCTTGTTACTTATATATACGGCCCCCCA